CGCCTCTTCGCAAGCAGGGGTGATCCCATTTCCACTGCCCCAGGCTCTCCGGGGGCATCCTCGCCCAGAAGCAGGTGGTCCCCAGCGAGGTAGGATCCTCGCCCAGAAGCAGGTGGTCCCTGGCAAGGTGGGATCCTCGCCCAGAAGCAGGGTGGTCCCTGGAGGAGGCAGGAGTGTCACCCTCTGCTGAAAACAGGCATTTCAGTCCACTGGGTGATGGAAATGGTTTGTTTAATGTCCTGGGAACAAAAGGCTCTGGCTTGGTACTCACAGATGATTGAGTAGGCAGAGGCAAGGACCTTGTCCAAAGGATGTTTATTTTTGAATTGATCTACACTGGAGAAGCTCTGACTGTCCCCTGAATACTCAAGGTGACCTGCTCAGTGAGCCTTAGTTTTTGGATATTCTCTCTGACGTGTGAAGGTGCTCAGTGGTTCCCCTGAACCAAACAGCTTATGAGTGCCAAAGTAAGCCTCAAAGACATTCCGGAAAAAATATTGTTAACTCACCTTCTCTTGCTTTGTAGGGAAGAGGGAGGTTCTCCTACTTTATTGTTCAGTTCTAAGATGTTTCGCATTACTCCTGTTATGTTCAAATTACACGCCATTACAGTCAGCTGTTTTAGAAATTGGGAGTGTTACTGGATACCTGACCTCTGAGTAAGCTGAGAACACAATTAAAATCACTTTCTTGAGAAAATGTCATAAGCGGAGGTGGTTTTTACATCCAGAACTCAGGGCTTGTGCTTGAAGAACCTGAAGATGCTAGCTATATAGTGGTTATGTAGGACTGGGGGGTGTGTGTTAATGTTTTTCATCAGCATTCATGACAAGTGACTGATGTGAACAGCACTGCTTTTACAAGGTAAATGGGAAGACCACTAACCATGACAGAGGGGGTAAAAATGGTGCCGTGAAAAGGAGGCAATGTGACTTCTTAGTTGCATTGGAGGACAAGTAGGGGGGGACAGTGGCATGACCTACGGCTCTTTATTTGAGGGTGCTCAACACTGAGGCCTTGAAAAGTAGTGCTGCACATATGCTTTCCAAGAGATGCCTTTGGGGACGTGCAGATTGCTGGGCAGATGTGACAGCATGGGAAGCCTAGCACATAAGGCAGCTACAGAAGTCTTTTCCAACACAGATCTGCATTAAAAATACTAAATTTTCTAATAGGCAACTGTGCAGATGTTGGGCCCTGCTTATGATATACTCCAAACAACAGATGACAACAAACAGCCTCTGAACTGTTCAGAATTCTGTTTAGCTGAAGAAAATTCATGATTGTTTTACTTCTGGCTTTATACTCATCCTCTTGATATTGGTGCAAAGTGTCCGTCCAGGTATAAGGAATGAAAAAAGTTCAGATTTTGTGTGCATAGTAAAAGAGAAGAGAAAGGCAGGTGGCAGGCCATTGTCGTGGTCAGGAGAGGAGGGGAAAGAGGTTCAGGCCAAAAAATGCCAAGTGGAATTGCACTGAGTGTTACTGTTGGGAAAGTGTAGTAAGAGGTATGGCTGTAAGCATAAAGCATTGACCTTATGGTGTCAATGGTACAAGTGCTGGAGCAGCGTTTTGATGTACATGTAGCTGATAAGATTTCCATTAGGGAACACTGTCAAGCAAGGAAACTGTGCAAGGATTTTGGGTAGAAAGCGCTGTGCTTTCTTAACAGACCTCTAGGAAAGAAGTTCTCCAGTTCCAGGTTGCAAAGTCTCCAGACCTATTGGTGCAGGAGCAGATAAGGCACAAACCAGTACATTTCAAAATCTGCATACATACAACTTGTACAATTTTTCATTTACAGAAGTATATTCTGATCCAGAGGAATAAGAGCTTTTAGACTTTTTGAGTGGTTGTCTTTTGAAATGCATGCACAAATAATAGTTCAGCTAGCTCCCTTCCCCTTTCAGCTCTGTCCCAATACAAGCCCTGGAATCAGAGTAACTAGAACCAAATTCTTTGAGTGCATGAGAAACCAAATACAATGGGGACTGGACTTATAAATGTTGAATTAATCTGGTGCAAGAGCTGCTCTTTTCTGAAGACACTAATGTGCTGTGTATACAACCTTTGAGGGGAAACGGGTGCTAAAGGAACTGCCCTTCGTGTGCTGCAAGTTCAAGAGCTCTTTTACCTCTTCTGTCAAGACATTGGCAGAACAAAGAAAAGATTGTTTTGGGTTTTTTTCCCCCTTTCACCTTTCAGTGTATTACTGTGCTGGATTATTGTGTTATTTAAATAATAATTCTTCTAATGCAGGAGGTTTTAAAATGTGTTCCTAAACAAAAGTCTGTGAACTTTGTCCTTTCTCCAACTTTTTCCCTCTAGAACGGCAGCAATTCTGCTTGTACCATGGACGAGCCAAAGTCGGTGTGTGTTTCGGTGGATGAAGTGGTCTCAAATGGCACAGATAACCAAGACCTTCGTCTGATGAATGGACATCTAAAAAAGGTGGACAATACTCTGACAGAAGCTCATCGTTTCTCCTACCTACCCCGCAGACCAGCTGTGAATATTGAGTTTAAAGAACTGTCATACTCTGTCCAAGAAGGGCCATGGTGGAGGAAGAAAGGTGAGGAAAACTTAAATGTTTTGCCTAACATACAAATGTTATTGCCCACGTGGGTGGTCGTGATAGGTGGAATGAGCCTGTTGTGGATGGCAAAGCAAAGCGAGCATGTTTTCATGGTTGCTTTTTACTTGGCTTCTTGATACACCCACTGCCCCCCAGCCAGCACTGGGGAACCTTCCCAGAGCCTGATGCAGTGGGATGTGTGGCCCCTTGCACTCCAAGAAACTGTAGATGCAGTAGCTCATACAACTGCTTGGTTTCGCCTCCCAATTCTAAGGTATCTGAAGTAAATATAGTATTGCAGTGCTGCCAAATATCTGTCCTGTGATCTTGCATGTCTACAATTTATTGGTGAGGGTGGGTAGAGCATGCAGTAGTTTAAAGATGGGGGTGGGGAGAAAGAGGATGGTTTTTTTACTTTTGCGGTTGGCTGTTTTGTGAAATGGTGATTTTTTTTTTTCAGTACTCTTGCAGAACAGCAAGCATCACAGAATTTCAGAAGGCATTTGAAACCAGGATAAAAATTATTCTCTTAAAACGCCATGTTTGGAAATAAATGCCGTGAGCTATAGGAGCATCAGCCCATCCATGTCTCTTGGTGTTCTGCGATGGGTCTGTCTAAGCTTACCATTGCTTTTAACTGATGAATCACTGGCTATTGCTAGGGCTGAATCCTGAGGTTTAGTCGAGGACCAGGGTGTTCTTACTAGCTAGTTTTGCTAATAAGACAGAGCAAAGAGTTCACAGCCTGCAACACAGGGCACGCCAAAATGGTCCAGATACTGAATCCATCTCAAGGAAGTAAAGTGTTGCCACTTCCTTCTCACAATCAAGTTTCACTTGTAGCTGGCTCTGAGACAATTCTTCTGGTGCTGATTTAGTGATGGGAGTAAGGAGGGCATATTCAGTTGTCTTCTTCATACGCTTTTGGTCTATTCCAGTTCTGAAAGGTGGGTGTAAGGTGGCTCTGTCCTTTTTCATCTGCTTTGCATTCATTCTTTTTATACCTTCATCTGCTTTGTGTAGCCATGTGTTTCCTAGAGAGTTTTTGGTTTTTGTCTGTGTGTGTGACTAGTCATCTCTGAAAGGAAAACTAGGTCGTGCAGTAAATTCCTGCTAGCGAAAAGAAGTAAGCCCAAGAGAAAATAGGGAAATCTTCAGGAGAATGTTGTGTACTAAATGACATAATTGCTCTTCCTCGAGGAATTCTCTCTTAGTAATGTAAATTGGTATGGTTGTGTGCTTTAGCTCTTTTAAAGAGATAAGCCCCTGCCAACACACTGCTTACCTGAGCCATACTTGATACCTGCGCTTGCTCTGAATTTGTAAATCCACTGGCTTAAAGGTTCCACTTGAAATTGTTTCACAAAATACACTGCTGCTGCCTGGAAATTGTGTCATTATCACAACACCAAGGCTTTAGTAGTCTAAAAATGTGTGGTATGAAAAAAACTCCATCTATGGCCATGGAATTGCTACTGTATGTGGACAGCCTGTGCATACAGTTATTCATTTGTTGAAGGATATGCAAACTTGAGGCTTTAATGGGTTTTTCAACATCAAAAGTGTATGTGCACACACCTGTCTTCTTTTAATTCTTTATTAAAATTTCATGTAGCCATACTGTCCATAGGAGAACAACTTGGTTTGGCAGCAGCTTTTGTACACTCAAAATTACTTCTTGTCTTATCAGAACAAACTCAAACATTGAAGGTTTTTTCCCCCCAAGAAACGGAACTATGCCAAAGTGTCTCATGTAAGAGTTAAAAACTTAAGGTTTTTACCTGGATCTATTTCTTATTGGCCAAAAATGATCAAGGGGTTCTAGACCAAAAACCTATGTCCACATTTGCTGACATGTCTGAGTGACTTGGCTTGAACGAAATGGCACATCCTGACAAAAAGTCCTGCTGCTGAAAAGGACTGATATTTAGCTCTAGGGCATGTCTGGCTATGACTATGTCACTACACTTAGATTTGAAAGAGATTAAACTTTTCTGGCTATCTGTGAGCAGGAGTTCACATTTTCCCCTCCTCACCTGGTCTTGCGCCGTATGTCTTTTGCCGGACCACTGAGGACAGCCTCTGAATGGCTGCGAGGCATGCTGTCTGCCAGCAGGTCTTGGCACTCTTCTGCTAGCCAAGGATCTAAAAAAAAGACTTGGGGGGGTTTACAGTCGATACCAAGCTGAATGTGAGCCAAAGTGTACTCTCCCTGCAAGTAAGGTAAGCCACGCAATAAGCAACCTTTGGAGGACCTGGCCAGATGGAGGCAAGTTGCTATCCTTCTCCACATCGGTGACAGCACAACTGGAATCTTATATCCATTTTTGTGCTCTCCAGCTGAACAGAGATACTGGGAAGCTGGAAAGGGTCTGTCGGAGGGGTAAAAAATTGGTCAAGGGACCTATGAAGAGAGGCTGAGGAATTTGGGCTTTTTTTGACTAATGAAGGGGAGGCTGGGGGATGATGTCATTCTGGCATACAACTACCTAGAGGGCAGTTACAAAGACAGCGGAGCCAAACTCCTGTCAGTAGGCAGGCTGATACACAAGCGCTAATGGCCACATATTGCAGTTTGGGTGGCTTATGGTAGATGTTAGGAAATACCCATTCACCAGGAGGTTGATGCAGCACTGGGACAGAAACAGTGTGCTTTCTCCACACCAGGGGGTGTAGAAAATTTGGCTGGGCAGAGCCACAGCTGACCTGATCTTGTGTTGGTGATCATCTTGCTTTGAGCAGAAGGCTGGACTAGGCGACCTCCAAAGGTCCCTTCCAAGTAACACTTCTATGGTTCAGTGAATTGCTAGCCAGATTATAGAAACCTTCTTTAAACAAACTTTCTTCCCAGCCATGTTCACTACTCCAGGAATTGACGCAATGTACTAGTTTTATTAAAAAGGGTTTTCGATGAGAGAAATTGAAAACTGAATTGTCTAAATTGTCTCAAATGAAGGTAAGGACCGAACTGTCAGATTCCTTGAATTGTTTTAGTGGTTCTGGTGTGCAATTTGGGATATCTCTATTTGAAACCGGTGGGCTTGTGATGAATACGTCACACATAAAACTATTCTGAATGCCTCTTACTGGTTTCTCGTCCGCTGGGAAACTGGGCCTTTGCAATGGGTTTTAATCTGTCTCTGTTCAACATAAGGACAATATTGTGCTGGAAACACTGGTGGATGTTTTAGCTCTACACTCCTTGTGGGTTCCCTGTGCTAAAAGGATCTGTCACTGCCGTGATGCGAAATTTTTAAATTCACTTCTTTATGAGAAGAGTAGCAGAAAACAGATTCCTGAAGGAAAGACCCATAAAATGGGAGATGTCTCTCAGTTCACATTGGGTGCTGGTCATGGTAATAAGCGATAAGGGATGCTGTTATGAAAATGTGCCTTTTAAATTAATAGTGTTTCTATTCTGAAACAGATCTTGGAAAGAAATTCTGCTATTTCTACATCTTTCTTCATGACTGTATTGAATTAGTTAAAACCTTTCATGAGTGTTGAATCACAAAGAGCGAAGTATAGTTTCCTTGCAAAGACAATTTGTGGCAGCATGTTAGGGAGGAATTCAACTAAAGAGCAACAACAAAAAAATGTGTTCCCTTCAGTAAAAATGATATTGCAAAGTAATGTTAAGGTTAGGCTCTAAATTAACAAAAGGAGGAATAATTAGTGATGCTGCCATTGTGTTCTGTACTTAGCTGTATTGCTCAGACAATGAAGCTCATGGTATGTAACATCATTTACTTTTTATTAAAAGCACAAAGAAACGTGAATTTGCATTGCTTGTCAACAACAAAGAAGCTAAATAAGCCATTGTAGACTTCAAATTAGAATTTTTCATTGATTTGTGTCTCAGCCTTAAAATGCCTAATTTATCTATTAAATCTCATTTTCTCTTTAAAAATAAGGAAGGGCATTTTTATTCTCAGATTTGTATAATAAATGCTGTTCTACTTGTTTTAATGAGGTTCTATCAAATTCATGGCCAAGATTGATTGGTATGACTCTGGACCTGAGTCATTCATGGTGTAATTCCTCTTGAACTCAGTGATATTAACGGGGAAGGAATCTGGTAGGTGAGTCTTTGATGAAAGAAGCTGCACCTGACCCATTCTGTTCAGTAGGCGTTCTTACCAATATGGGAATTTGGAAAAGTTTACAGAGGTGGAAGTTTCAGAAGGTTTCAGATGATTTTGACATTCTCCTCATAAAGCTTTTGGGGAATTAGTCAACTGGTAGAATCAACTACTCCTTCAGTTTTGAAGGAAGAAGGTTGGTAAGTGACTTAATCCAGATCTTGTGAGGGTGAGGATCTTCCAGAACCAAAAATGCGTCTTGATCTTTGAATCCTGCCTTTGTTCAGGCATGTGCCAGGGGTCTCCTCCAGTCAGGAAGGTTCCAGATTCACCTAAGGAAGAGAGCTGCAGGACTGCTGGAGCAGAGACAGTGTGTTGTAAGATTAAGATGAACTGGCAAAGGTAGAAAAAGGAAACTTCAGCACACAAATAATAGGGCTGTTCCATCCAAAAATGCCTTCTCCTTTCTTTTAGGAAGAGGGAGCCGGCTGGCTTGGAGGGGAAGAAAAAGAGGAGAGTCCTCTGTTAGATCCAGCGTGGGCTTCTTAAATGTGGAAAAGCAAGATCCACAGAGCTTCAGAAGAAACTGTGTCCAAAATTTCAGTGTCTTGTCACAAAGCCATTTATCTAGAAGTTGAGAAGGAGATCTGAAAGTGGATCTTCCCTTGGCTTCTGAACTGTCTGTTTAAACTGCGGTTTAAAATGAAAACCACGGAAACATAGACTGGTTTTAAGCAGTTTATAGAAAAATTGCAGACGTGTAGGTTTTAGTTCTAGGACTGCCTGAAAACTGTTTGCAAGAGGATTTCAGAGAAAAGTCAGTGCCTTAGCTTTCTGCCATTCTTGTTAGAAGTGCCATAAAGTAATCTGAGTAGAATGAGTGGTTTGGCAATAAAATTATGGATAGTCCAGAAT